TAGGATTAAAACATTTTGAGTGGCACTGATTGTTGCTACAGTTGTTGCTGTGCTTTGTGAGCCAAAAGTTGTGTCCATAGATTTGTATTGAACACACAGTGCAGGGCCCCCAGCACTGGTCAGCAGCATCTTTCTAGCCTCCCTGAGAGGTTGCTGAGTGTCGGTGAGGTGGCCGACCATGTGTGAGTGTGTTTGATCTGGTGGCCGGGTCAGCCCTGATATTAACAGAGTTATTAGGGGACTTATTAGGGAGAGTCAGAAAGCCAGCTAAACCCCCCACTGATTCCATCATTACTGCCGTTGTGGCAGGGTCATTACCGCCATGCTGCTGAGGCTTTGTAGCAGGGATTGAGAATCTGCTGGTGTGCACACCAGAATGGCTCAGTGGGAGGAGTGAGTGTGTGTGTGTGTGTGTGTGTGTGTGTGTGTGTGTGTGTGTGTGTGTGTGTCTGTGTTTGTGTGCACGTGACAGAGTTGCAGGGACACAGGTAAAGGAAAACGAGTGTCAGAATGAGGAGAACTCCAGAGGGATTTGATCAAATCCCATGTGATGAGGGGGAGGATGACTACAGCCATAGCTTTAAGTCGGAGTTTTACCAAGTTACGTTTCCAGAGCTGACCTTTATAGGCACAAGACAAGTTTGAGGATACTTAAAAAAATAAAGTGATGGAATGACAAGGATGAAATAAAACTTGATAGGGAGGGGGGTTTATATATATATATATGTGTGTGTGTGTGTGTGTGTGTGTATCTGTAAAAAATTAAAATAAAATTCATGCATTACAACTGGATACTAAACCACATAGTGGGGGATACAGAATCCCTTTAAAATCTTTACTAAAATAAAAAAGCAGTTTTTATGTTTATTTGTTACTAAAACATGACTGTGACCAGTATTTAATTACAAACTAATAGAATACAAGTGATCACATACTAAAATATACAGTACACTCCAGGGTTTTAGTTGTTGTCGAGTAACCTCTCTTTCACTTTTGTGTTGTTTGCTCTGAGAAACCCAGAAATCACCATTACAAAGTGGCATATGCCCTTTGTCCATCAGCAATTGATGTGGGCAATGGAGGAAACATTTTGGAGGAAAGGGGGTGTGAAGTTTGCCAACATCAATCTTGTTTCAAATTGAACCGCAAAGTTCCAGCTGAATGAATTGCCTTTCAAATGCAGCAGGCCATGGCTACACGCATTCAATCCCGAAGTGAATCTGATTTGATCCCAAGAGCCGTACAAAGGCACAACCCACAGATTGATAAAGTGAACTGAGGGGAGATGAGGATAAAAAAAAAAAGAAAGAGCCAAGTCAGTGGAAAAGAGGGTAAAGAAAGCAGGATAAGCTGATACTGTGAAGCAAAGCAAAAAAACAATCAAATGTAAAACAAAAGTTTTAATGGGAAATGAAATAATTTTATGATGTTGTCAGATGTTCTACAGAGTTTAAAAGATGTGANCAAAATGGAGGTGTGTGATAAAAGACTGCTCGGCTCTATTTCCACATCAGAGAGCACTTAATAATGCCACAGGTGGAATACGTGTCTTGACATCAAAAACTGCGGTGAAGCTTTAAGTACGGCACATTTTAGGTCACAGGAAAAATGTTAACTTTCACTTCAACGGGATGCAGCATGTAGTATAAAAATATTAGAAGTAGAGCTGAGGATTCATACAATTTCCCCAAAATTTCAATGGGGAAAACAAAATCTAGGAGACTGACCTGCCCTAAGAAAGTTGTGGAGGAGATCTGCAAAGAAAGTGTGGAAGAATTGGACACCAGTGAACCATCATGAGGGGAAGTCCAAAACACTGTGGACAAAACCTGTTCAGCATCTGCCCCTGGAAGAAAACTACACTAGGGTCGTAATGATTAAGCTGATTGTCCTACAGGAAGATGGTTGCAAAGAGGCTTCCAGGAGGAAAGCCACCAACCACAGGACTAGGTCCAACAATACAGGGACAAAGGTTGGCAGGCCTGGCCATTTCCAGTTGTGGTTGGCTCAAGGGTTTTGAGTCCTGCTCTAGGAATAGCAGGGAAGGAGAGGAGGACAGCTGCTTGCAGGTTGGGGGAGACAACAGAAAGAGCATTATTGTTTCTGGAACCGGCAGGGGGAGTAGAGCTGGAAGCCAGGAGAACTTGGCCATTGACTCCCACAATCACTGCCGACCCCCCAACTGGAGGATGTTGTGATTCAGGGTCGAAATGTCAAAGAAAATGCCACCAGATGACATCTTCTCCTGGCTGAAGGGCTCAGCAAGAGGAAAGAGAAGTTGTTTGTATAAATGTTGTTTAATGATTCATGCCATCGTGTTTGAGTTGGGTCTTTCTTTAAAACATGTGGTTACCCTGCAGATAGAAAGTGTGAAATATTAAAAAGTTGTTGCCAGAATGTCTTTATCTGCCTATGGCCTAACAACTGACACACCGTAAGAGTTTTAAAATCAAGCCAAAGAAGTATTTCATTATAAATGACAGATTTAGAAGACTGAAGCCAAGCTTGAAATCCCACTTGATTATCATTTCCTTTTCTTGGTAAAACTCATTAAACAGTGAGACTCATAAAAGCAGCAGGGGAGATGACAGTTCTGCATTCTCAGTTGTTTTAGAGGCCTCTGAGCGCAATAAGCATGTGCAAATCGGGGGCTGTTAGCGATTCTTTTTTTCTCTTTAACTGCCAAAGTGTTGTTCTTCAACAATGCAAGTAACAAGCAAGAATCTTGAAACCACATGGAGTTAACAGAAGCCTCTTTGCAGCATTTTCAGAGGGCAGCTCTGCAGGGGAGGCATTTACACCTGCTTGCCTCATCTTTGACGATATTCTTGTCCCCCGCAGTGCGGTTCACTTATAACTATCTACGTGTAAGATGTGGCAAAGATGAAGCTACCATAAAGAAGCAATAGAAAAACCAACATATGTGTATGTGTGTGGTGGCAATATCCAAGACAAATGAAGTCCGTTTTCACCAGTGACTTATTTCTCAAATCAGCATAGAGGATTTATGGTCCGTGGTTACAGAGGTTGCAATAAGAGTACAAGACCTTAGGAATTAATCTTGCAAGCCGTGGCTTTTCCACCTGAACCCCAACTCCACTTTAAACTTGACCAATACAATTAACAAATTTACTTGAGATGCAGGAAAACTCTCTACCCTATATAGATTAAATTCAGAGTGGATATAAAGTGGGACTATATTGAAGAAAGTTTTAATGTTCAAGCACACATATTCCTTCAGATGCCCTGCATGTGAAAAACTATACTACATGAACAGAATAAAAACTACCATTTTGTTTTAGGAAGATTCCATCTTGCACCTTTTTTGCAATACCATCTACATCAAAGCTCCTCTCATTGGGGGGGTGTACATATCAAACATTAAACAGCATTTTTCATTCATGAGAAAATCATGTTCTATTTCAACAATAGAAGGAAAAGCGCTGACTCAGTGAAGACGCTGCAGGGGTAATTGATAGGGATCCAGCAAAGGTAACTCCCAGGGGAAATGCTGGATCATGAATTCCTACCGGGCCAGCGGGAACATGGACTATATATAGAATCTTTTTTTTTAAACCCCAGTGGGTGAGAAAATGAATTCAATAAAGAATTTAAAAGGCCATTTAAATCTGAATTAAAGATGTGTCACTGTAACTGCAAATGTTAAGTTGTATTTCATTTTAAGAATCTTTCTGCAAATGCACTTTAGAGCTGATGGGCTCAGCAAACACATTTCTGATTTGCTGTGATGAAATGTTACATTTATCGTCTTAAATAACAACTCATGAATCAAATGAAGGAACACGACGAGAATTAGAACAATTAAACATACATTGGAAAGGTGTGAAGAAGGTCTGCCCATCAATTACTTCAGACATGTCTTGAAGGTGTGATAAAAAAAAAAGATATGTTCTGGCTGATATTCTCTGGTGAAAGATGAGGAGAGTGGCATGACTGCCAGGCTTTTCCCTGCCACTTCATTACGCCTCACAACAACTGTTGTTTCCTGCCCAGAGTTTCCTTCCATCTGTATTATACCAGAAAATCACCTCACGGCAGCTGAGGGAAGATTGCTATTTATTTCACAGACCAAAAAAAGGAGATGAGTCTAGTTTGTAGACCTGGAGGCAGTGAGAACAACGGAGCAAGAAGCTGCTGGCGGGCTGAGTGGTGTCCAAACAGACGGCGGGTATATGGGAAAAGTTGGAAGATTCTGTATAGTTATGTCCACACACCCTGACAGAGCTCAGATTTGACTGTTCTGCTGTTGACAGTACTCTGACTTCTCCCCTCCCACTGCAGCTAGAATTAGAGGGGTGTTCTACACACACATACACTCACACACTGTCAAAGAAGTGGATAACACTCAAATTGTCATGGGAAGAATACATCAAGTGCCTTCACAAACCCTCCTCCGTACAAAAACAAACTTGCTCTGTTATTCATCAGCAAGTTAGGTAGCCTGGTTGTGTATTTGAGAAACAAACTGGCCGGGACAAGAAAACTCCCAGAGCTTCCTTCATGAAAGCCCCCCCACCCCTGTCTTCCTCAATGGAGCATTGGTCTACTGGACTGGAAAAGGCAAGAAATAAATCAAGCATAGCTGCTCTTGGTTCACACATATGTACAAGCTGAAGTTTGTGTACATCCACAGTGCACAGCCAAAGATCTGAAACTACTCAGTTGGTCCATAGAAATAAAATGTGCAGGCATATTCCATTTCAAGCTTTCTCACATATAGAATTGCATGAACACACTGCAACAAGAGCCCTGGTATCTCTAATTGGCACAGAGGTTGGAATTCAGAACATATATAGACAGGGTTCAATTGTAGAGGAGAAAATGCTTGGTTTTAGGATAATTAACACTTCAGTGAGAAAAATGGTTGCTTAAGTGTCACAAGATGAAAGTGGATTGGCATCCATTGCCAGGGAGGCTAAATAAGGCATGTGTGTGTAGATTAATTAAGGAATGGGTGAAGGGAGATGACGCCTCCTTACCTTTGCTCTGTGAGGAGAAGCAGAGGGAGAGCTGAGCAAATAGGTCAGGATTCTCAAACTTCTCTTCTTTGACTTTGATCCAGAAGCAATTCTCTGCCATTTCCTGAGGCACTATCTGCAATGACACAAGGATTCCATTATCACTACAATCAGAGACTGCCTTTCCACCAACCTGCCACTCAAAAAGTTCTTCCCACTGGAGATTGGGTTTGTGTGTGTTTTTCACATGTACGGACACACACATGCTCTTGTGTACGCCTGCTTTGAATCTGAGTGGGAAACAGGACAAGCATAAAACAGGAACAAAGCATATGGGTGGCATCCAGGATCAGATGCATTCTTTAAGAATTAGTTCACATGACAAGACTCTTTTTTCTCTTCAATTTTCCCCTCAATGAATTGTGTAACTCTCAATTTTAATACACATTTAATTAAAA